CACCTCTCGACCATCATGAAGATCCTTGTGAGTTCAATTCATAGCTCTACGAATTCTCCGCAATATCCTTTTGAATAGTGGTCGTGATGGACCTCTTCCTGATTGTGCCAGACCCTCATTTGCAATGGCCTCAATATCATTAAAAGCATTTATCTACATGCAAGATAAAAATTATCGGAGGAGAAATCGGGCCCAATCTAGAGTTGATGGGCCTTACACAGAAGTTAGGAATTAATTTTAACCCAAAAGCTATATTTATCATGTATTAACCCAAACTCCTATTTAAACTCATCACTCTTTTTTATCTTATCCGATGTGGGACTATACTCACATATAAATCACCTCAATAACTCTTCCTTAATTAGTGAGTATATTTCAATTCAACTATAATTTAATCTTCCATGGAATTCACTATGTTTTTGCATCACTTCACTCGTAGGCTAATCAATTCACAAACTTTAGCACTACTCCACTCGTAGGCTAACCAAACAATACATTCAGCATATTGCTATCAAACATCCGTAGAAACTTCCACCACTTTACTCATGGTGGCTAACTAGACTATATCACTCCTACGGGTATTCGTGGATTGTCCCGACACCTTCGGGCTTCACATAGAAGATCATCTGGCTTTTTTAAATTACTTGGACCATGACCTTAGCTCTGATACCACTAGTTGGGGGAGAAATCAGGCCTAATCTATAGTTGATGGGCCTAAAATAGGAGTTAGGAATTAATTTAAAACCAAAAGCTATAGCTATCAGATATTGACCCAAACTCCTATTTAAACTCATCGCTCTTTTTTATCTTATCCGATGTGGGATTATACTCATATATTAATCACCTCAACAAAAATTGTAATACTTAAGCAATTTTAATAATACGAAAAAAGTGATGAGCTTACTACCAAATAACTTACATATTCTCTCTCATCTAACCCTTAAAAATGACAAACTAACATCAAAACCCCTTTAAAATGGCCAAATTTTTAACCTAAAAAATAAAAAAAATTAACAAATTATCTCAAATCCCCGAGAAGTTCGAGCGGTTGTTGGTCGGATTTGCAGTCCAAGTTCCACCACGGGAGGGAGGGGAAGGAGGAAAAATGCAGGTCAAATTTGCGGTCGAAGTTCCAATGCAGGAGGGAGTTGAAAGAGTAATAGGGAAGAAGGGGGGAGAAGAATGAGAGAGAAGAGGGAGGTGACAAGAGCGCGGAGGAGGCGGTTTGAGAAAAAGAGGGAATCACGAAACCCTAGCCGAGAGTGGGTTTTCTCCCGTAATCAATTTTTAGCCTGAAAATCTTACGTGACACCCCTATCACGACCCTAATTTCCGAACCTAAAAAGAATATTGGAGCCGAAGTAAACCTGTAAAAAATCCTCCAAAAATATACATTCATTAAAATACCATCAAAATAATCTCTTCATTGAACTTAAACCAATAATAAATATTCTCTATAATTCCCAAAAGTCAACATTGATCCAATTAACTTAGTATAAACAAATATTCCTCAACTCGAAATAAAATTCAACCTTAAGGAAAGAATATTATTATTCCAAAACTCTCAATTCATCAATTAAACATCAAATATTTTATTTAACCTTCACCTAGAAGATAATAACAATTCTGAATTTTATTCCTTACTCCATTCTAAGATTTGAAAAATCATCAATTCCACCTAATCCTGAGTCTCTGAAAAGAAGGAAAACAACACAATGAGTTCACAACTTAATAAGTGGATAAATTCATACATTGAACACTGGTTTTGCAAAAATTCAAGTATTTTGACAAAAGATAAACAAAATATAAGAATGATAGAGAACCATTAATGTACTCTAGTACTTGATGCAAATATTTAAGAAAACTTAAAAATCATGAAATGGAAATAAGCAGGTCACGTCTCAATGCGGTCAACACTTAATACTGCAGTTGACTCGGTAAACCCCACAATTATTAAGCTCGTGGTTCCGGGATGATGAGACCCAAATCTGGACGTTTAGCGCTAAAATAAAACCTCATAGAGGCACATTGAGCCCTGTTTTAATAGCTTGTTTATATCCGACATATACCAGTATATTTACCTGAGATGCATGTGCTTTAAGAAAATTAAACAAAATTCGTAAAACTAAATACGTTATACAAAAATACCAAAGGCCAATCAATAGTGAAATCAATCAACCACATATGTATCTAAATCTACTACTATATGAAAATACATAACAATTGACAAGGAAAATAAGCATAGGCTTATACCAAATATCCATGTGCGTCACCTCCGAATAAACATTTAACATGTGAATAAATCACACAAAAGGATATAATCCATCAGAAATAAATTCGCATATAAGTAATATAATTTTATATGAAAAATACGCAGTGCACAATGCATGAATTCACCATTACTCAAACCCGATAGACTATCGGAATACCAGTCATGACGCCTCCTCAAAGTTGCTTGGAACCCCTAAAAAATTCATTATTAAAATAGTCATCAATACAAACATCATATTAAACATTAACACATATTAAGCCATTCATGTATATTATATTAATTAATAAATATCGAATATTTATGGGTTACTCTAAAATACTGGTTTGCATCCTATGTAACATAACTTGTAGCCTCTAGTCAAAAACGTCAAATACCTAATGACTTTCAATTACAAGATCACCGCTATAATAAGTAATTTATTTTAATCAAAGAAAATACCCAACTTGATAACATATGATCACGTTCTGCACTACATAACAACATAACAACTAAACTTCTCTTCGGCTTTAGCCCATCAAACTTGCCAAGAAAATAAAATGGATGAGAGGCTGCAACTATGTAGTGCAGGATCTAAAAAAATTTTATCCATGGCCAAAGATACACAAGGTCTAACGCTAGAGTCGTGCTCAACATCACCTAGAACAGGATCTAAATAAAGGAAAATAAGATTGGTGCATAGTCTTCATCTACAACAGATAATATTCCACAACAAATATTAGATATAGAAGTAATACCTATTTCTTGTGTAGAGTTAGATCCAATCACCACGTCCTCCCCATCAACCCAGATTAGATTTGATTTTTTTTTTTTTTTTTTTTTGCGGCGATACAGGGATTTGCGGCGATACAGGGACGGGAGCAAGGAAATAGGCTGACGGGAATCAAAGAAGAAAAGAGATGGGATAGAAGTTTTGGGTATTTATAGGAGTCATTTTTGCTATTAGAACCCTCTAACAATTTTTGCATAAAAATCTTTTTACTTTTCCTTATATATATATATCCAATAAAAGCTAGAATTATTACAACCCCTTTTTTCCCCTCACTTTCCTCTTTCTTTTTGGCAAACCAAACAGTTGTTTGTGAGGGAAAACAACTTAATTTTTCAATGTCAGTTTTCTGCGGCCCTTTTTCTATTGTTTTTATACCAACCAAACAGCCCCTGAGAATAATATGGTATTTCTGATTTTCAACAAATGAATTGATGTGCACATAACTCATAGCATTTTTTGAGTGTCATATCCTATCACCAATCGCGTTTGAACTATCTTGATTAGTCGCTCACACGCATTTTAATAAACTTCTTAGAAAATCATATCATATCATACTTACTTCTTTTAAAAGCACGAGTTCGGAAAATCTTTTTTAGACAAATATACCCCTTTATAGTTTGAACTATCTTATCTATAATCAAATTCTAATTTTCAAATTTAATTTTAATGATGGGAAAAGATGCTCTTATTTTGGAACTAACAAAATAACCGATTAAAAGATTGTTGTCAAAACAATAATTCCAATTCTCACGCAGCCGGGTCGCATTTGAAAATTGTTTTTTAAAAGACAATAACTAAAAACTTTGACCAGTGAGCGCGTTTGTGTATCCTTGCGCATCATCAATATTTTATTTATAAAAAAAGTAATATGGTCAAAGGGATAAGCAAAAGGTTTCGTTGCATGCAACCCCAAAGCTCGGATTTACATGCACGTGCGCGTGTGAGAATTTATAGTCAATTTTCTGACCAAAAATTATCGCAGAGAGAGATAAAGAACGGGAAACTGAATCTAGATTACCTTCATTGTAATATAATACAAATCCTAATAAAACTCTAATTATGACTATTATCCTATCACATAGAATGGACCGTTCATGTTATCATACTTCAAAGTGCAGAGGTCACTTACAAAAATGCAAAAGGATCAGGAAAAATACTAAAGCTAATTCTTGCTGACGCAAAGGTAAAATAAAATTATTTTTAATATTATATTGTTTTCCCATCGTTACATCTGATCATATGAATATTGCTAAATCTCATTTTCTATTCGGTAAATTACATTAAAACACCGATAACTATCAGAATGGCTTTTTATGATATTTTCCTGTTTACATATAATATATAGATTATTATTAATTAATTATATTTTCCATAAATTGATCTCTGGTGTTAATAATATTTGCAGGGTAATAAATACAAGCAGTAATATACGGAGAGACTATCGAAAAGTTTATAGATATGCTTCGAAAAAATCAAATTATTTTCATTTCAAATGGAGAAGTGAAAGGAATAAACCTAGCTTTTCCAAGTATCCACAAGTCACTAGAATTAGTACTAACAAAAGACGTATCGATAAAAAAAGCACCAACAGGATTCCACTTGGAGAACATAGTTAACAACTTTGTGTCATTTGAAGAAGCATTTTCCATGAAAGATGCAACAAAAATTAGTAAGTACTTACAAACTTCTTGCTTAAATTTTGAATACAAAATGAGACATTAATCTACAGAATCATAATCTTTTTATCAAATCACTTGCAGATATTCTAGCAATAACAACTAATGTGAAGCCGGCAATCAACTATATTACAAGACACAACAAATCAGACAATAGGAGGGAAATCACACTTATGGATATAAGGTATATACATGTTACTTATTTCCAATATCATAAGAGAAAAAAAGATTAACGTTCTTTCTTTTTTCATATGCAGTGGAATGCCAATGCGTGCAACTTTATTTGGAGATTTGGCTACAAATGAAGGATCAATTCTTGAAGCAGAAATCAAATATAAGCCTGTAATAGCATTATCAGATTTTAAAATCTCTATATATCAAGGTACATAAATTATTGCTAAAATTCTTATTAAAGATAGCTAAACATAAAATTAATCCTATAATTTTCCCATTTTTGCAGGAGATACAAGCATATCGTCGCAAATTATTTCAACATTATGTATCAACCCAAAAATAGAACTAGCTAGCGAATTAAGGGAATGGTAAGCAGAACAATCAAACTTTCATATAACCCAATAATGAAATGGTATTATATTTTAATCTAATATGCAGGTTTCAATTGGAAGAATCTGCAAAAGCAAAAGGATCTCCATCGACGCTTTTTAAAAATGCCAAGGAAATTCATATTAGTGATATTATGCATAAGTAGAATCATTGATGACCCAGTACCAAGGTTAAGTAATATATATTTTTTAATGCCATGAACATATTAAAATACAATACTAATTGTCTTTAGAAATTAACAATGAAAAATACAGGTACTTAGTTAAGATTCTCGTGGAAAATGACACGGATAATGCAAGAGTAACACTCTTTGACGCAGCAGAAACTCTTATTGGATGCAAAGTAGAAAAATTCATTACAGAAAAGAAAGAGGTAATTCCTAACTCTATTCAAGTAGTAAATTAGAAAATAAACAAATTCATAAGTATTAATATAACATTTGTTCTCATTGCAATAGAAAAATAATCAGAGTCCATATTTTCAAAATTTTGTTTTGAACATCGGCGAAAGTTTCAAATTTCTGGTGAAGTTAGATGAAAAGACAAAAGATGAACGAGGCGAAGGCAATATAATAGCACAAGAAATTCAACTCCAGGCTAATATTACAATCAACGTAAGTGATGAAGATGCTACTCTAGAGTTTCCCAGAAAAAAGATAAATGTGGAGAAAGATTGATCTTGGTTCAATTATAAATTTTCAAGAACAATATTTTTTAATCATTTTATATAACAACTTAATTTTTTATTACAATTAGGAATTTTTATAAGGCATTTTCATGCAAAGTTATTAGTAGTTTTGTATGCTTATGTGATTGCTTAAATCACATAAAATTACACTTTGATATTTAACCATTTTAATATATTTTATTATTATCTATGGATATGATCCTGCATTTCGTGAGAGGCAATCGATAAAAATCTGCTTTTATTGATCCTGTGAATGGATATATTGTCAGCTAGATGTAAAATACTCTTACTGATAGCTAGCGCAACATGTGATCAATCATTTATGATATAAATGTGACCTCTTTAATCAATTGGCAAATAATTACTATTATGATGATTTTGCTTGGGGTTGTCACAAACTTCAATATTCAATGTTTTCAAAAGAAACCCCTTGACTAACTAATTATTACTTGTTGAGATTGTTGCCATGTTGAATAAGGAACCAAATTTGATCAAAATTTACTTTCATACTTTAATTAAGTTCCTATTGGGTGTTGGTGGTAGTGATCAATTAAAAATTCTTAAAACAAAAAAAAAATTACAAGTTTGCAGTAAATCAAACAATAATCTTAGCTTTTTGAATCAAAAAATATTTGAATAAACTTAAATTTTTAAAATATTTTTTCATTACTATAACTACAATTCATATTACATTTATTTTTATTAATATTTAAATAAAATACTAATAAATCTTATAATTCAATTATACATATTTGAACTCAAGATAAATCTCACTTATTTAAAGTAATGATGAAATAAATATAAAAACAATATTTTTAAATATTTAACCACGTGCATTGCACGTGCATAAAAACTAGTAGAGAATAAATATGAGCACTAATTTGAGCGTAGAAGTCTCAGTACGCGTACCAAAATACCAAATGGCCTTTTGGCCTTCTCGAAATTAATGGGGGATTCAAGGATGATAAGGGCCGCTCCGCGATTTACCCATGCAAGAAAAACCCGTTCAAAAGCTATCAATTTCGTCATTTTGCTTTGGGGGGTTTAAAGTTAGAAACTCATCGATAAACCCTCTTCATCTCCAACCCCCGGTTTAAAGCTCCGAGCTTTAAGCAGCCGCTGGGCACAAAATCCGACCCAAATCCCGATGGACGTCCCAACTTCCACGACCGCCAAGCCTTTCTTTTTCTGCAGACTCCCTTCCCAATTCAGAGCGAGACAACAGCGGAGACCCCCAGTTCCTTTCCCAAGACCCAGAGCCCTGTCCGAGCAGAGAGAAAGAGCGAGAGAATCACTCCGTAGATCCTCAATTCGCAGCAGCAGCAGAAGAAGGAACGCGCTGAGGGAGAAGCTCCTCTTCGTTCCTGAACAAGATCAGGTGCGCTCAATTCCTCCACCATTAGAAAACCCCAGTGATGATATAAATGATAAGTTGTACAAACTGGAGACTTGGGTCCGCCAGCACGAGCAGAATTTGGAGGGTTGGGGAGATGGGTCTGATCCCGTTTTCAGGTTTTCCCGAGATTCTGATGGGAATGTTGTTAGGGTTTCTGTTAATGAAGAAGGGGAAGAAGAAGACAGTAAGCCCGTTTCTAATGAGATTGAATCCACCAGGCCTTCTTCAATTGACAGCCTTCGGTCTGTTTTGATTCAGCGAATGCCCTTTGTGAGGGCTTTGTCTTTGACTGGGTTTACGGTGTTGTGCGCCTTCTGTGTTCTTGGTGTTGTAGCAAAGTTATTCGCAGGAAATGATGAAGTTGAATTGGGGAGAGAAGAGGCTGATATGCTTAGAAGAAAGAAGAAATCGAGGATGGAAAGGGAGAGATTAGAGGAAGGCGGTGCCAGAGTCATTCAACATGTTGAAGAGTTGCCTGTGGCATCTGGCACTAGGCCACAGTTAGATAGGAATGAACTATTGAAGCGCATCGAGCATGCTGAAAATAAAGATAATGATTTTGATAGTCGAGTTAGGCGGATTAGAGAAATGGCGAGAGAAGTTCGGAAATTGGGGGAAGAAGGTCGAGAACAAAACGGTAAGAGAGAGAATGAGGATGAGTTATCTCCTGCAGTAGATGTTTCCACAAGCCACGTTCTTGCTGATGCTCATATAGAATCTCATCCTATGAAGGACATGAAGCATTCTGGTGATATAGAGAACAATACCTCTATAGATATTATTCCAGATAGCATAGCTTCCACCATCAACCCCTATGAAGTTACTACAAATGCGGATGTTCATGAAACGGACACATCTCTAATGCTAAAGGGATTGCAAAATTCTGTCGAGAATAGTGATTATGGGATTAACTCCAGTGTTCTGATAAGTCAAGACTTGAAGAATGAAGAAGTCAAACAGAATGAGACTGATAGTGTAAACTTGATAGAAAAAGAATCCAGTTGTATCTCATCTGGTATTTTGAGTTCGGTTAAAAGAGTACCAAAAATAATGAAGTCGGTCGAGGAAGCTAAGGAGTACCTTTTACAAAAACATGGGATTTCAAATGATAACTTGCAAACTAATCAAGCAGAGCAGTTAAACTATTTAGCTCTTGATGTTAGCGCTGCTGATCCTCTGAATAACAACATAACTGATGCCAAGAGAAATCAGGCATTGAATAAAAATAACAAAGCTCGCCATTCGACTGACCTAACAACAGATATTAATGGTGATGTAGATTCCACTTCTTTGCTAAATGGTTCTTTTGCTGATGACATTTCCGAGAAAAAAGTTCATGAGGTTGATACAAAGAATGCAGTGTTTTCAATGAAGGTTGATGACAATAGATTGTCTGGAGAAAATAATCCGGATTTGCCAATCAATAATTTGATTACAGATGAAATTCTATACTCAAGTAAAAATGCCCTTGGTGCTGTAGATCCAGAGAAAACTTGTTCCGGAACTGATAAAATAAAGAAGTTGAATGCTGAGCAAAGACTAATAGAGAATCAAAGTGGAAGGAACAATTATGCTCATACCTTTTACACATCTAACAACAGTCGAGGATCAGAATCCCGTGAGACTTGCTGTAATGATTCTTCTTCAGTTGTTACCTTTTTAGGTGATATACAGGGTAGGGTGGAAAATGGAGCTCATGACTCCAAACAGTTGAGAATTTTTCCAAATCAGAAGCCTTTCAATTCGAAAGAAGAAAGAAAAGCATGTGAAGATGGTTCTAAAGTGTGTAATGTCACCACCAATGGGCCTAAAGTCAATAACAGCAGGAAACTAACGGGGGGAAACCAAAAGATTGATTCTCCAGATACTACATCCTCAGATGTTAGATTTCCGGCAGCATCTAGCTTGAATGGAGTTGAATTTGACGGTAGTGCATCCCGATTTTATCCAGTAAACAATGATAAATCTGAGGATTTGAAACCATTCATTCCTGATGCTACATTAGAATCTGGGGACAATCATGACACAAATGATCTTGCTAGTTCTAAGAACAGCTTCCAACTTGACTCTCCTACGCCTGAGCAGGATAACGAAACATTTGAATCTAATGGTGACAATAGTTGGCTTGAGAATAATTTTCAGCAACTCGATCCTATTATCAAGACAATTAGTACAGGATTCAGAGAAAATTATTCGTTGGCAAAAGAGAGAGTACAGCAGTCAGCTGTAAGTGCTGGAATAAATGAACTTGGCTTACTTGGTGATGATGAGGAACTTGAATGGATGAAGGATGAAAAACTTAGGGAAATTGTGTTTCAAGTTCGGGACAATGAGTTGGCTGGACGAGATCCTTTTCATTTGATCGATGATGTTGATCAGCGGGCTTTCTTCAAGGGTCTTGAACTCAAAGCTGAAAAGCTGAATGGAAAACTGTCCGGTTTGCATGAGTGGGTCCACTCTAGGATTGAAAACCTAGACTATGGTTCAGGTATTCGTTTTCTTGGAGTTGCTTTAATCTCATGTTTCATTACTTCAAATATCTTTCTAGATTATTGGAATCAAGCAAGCTTTTATGTTGTGACATTATAAGTTTTTTCTTGATGTACATTTTTCTAAACAATTAACTAGTAAATCACCATAAAATTCTGATGGATTAGGGGTAAACTGTACTTCTAAGTTGATTTGTTATTTATAACACAGATGGCATCAGCTTGCATGATCCGCTGGAAAAAATTGTTCCCCGCTGGAAAGGTCCCTCAATTGATAAGGAACTTAACTTTCTTGGCAAATCGACTCATGAGATGACAAACTTTGCTGGAAATGATAAAACTCTAAATGGATTTTCAACAAGTGGGAAGACAATTATAGAGAGCAGTGATGGTTCTAGCAAACCTGGCAAAAAGAAAGGGAAGGAGCATTGGCAACACACAAAGAAATGGTCTCGAGGATTCTTAGAGGTTTACAATGCAGAGACAGATCCAGAGATTAAATCTATAATGAAGGACATGGGTAAGGGTCTAGATAGATGGATCACAGAGAAAGAAACACAAGAGGTTGCTGATTTGATGACTGGAATATCTGAAAGAAAGAAGATATATATACAGAAGAAAATGGACAAGCTTAAAAGGGAGATGGATATGTATGGAGCACAAGCAGTTCTTAGCAAATACAGAGAATATTCAGATGAAAAGGAAGAAGATTTCTTGTGGTGGTTGGATCTTCAATTTGTTCTGGTATGATATAAATCCCATTCCAGTCTGCATCAGGCTTTTTTCCCCCCTCAAATATGTCACTGCTTAGTTTTCCAAAATTTCCACTGGTATATGTTATTTATTCTCACTTTGGACTAGAAGATTAATGCATGTACATTGATGTAATCTTTTGAGTGTCTACAGTGCATTGAACTCTACACAGTGGAGGATGGTAAGCAGAAAGTAGGATTTTATTCATTGGAGATGGCTGCAGACCTTGAACTCCAACCGAAGCAATATCATGTTATTGCATTTGAGGATCCAAATGACTCTAAGAACTTCTGTTATATTGTTCAAGCTCATATGGATATGCTGGGCAGTGGAAGAGCTTTTGTTGTTGCTCGACCTCCAAAGGTATTGTATTTTTTCATTCTACAAAGCTGACTTGTTTTTACTTTGTTATACCATTTCTTTGCCATGTTCTCTTTGAAATTTAGACCAAGATGATTGTGATCCTATTCATGAACCATAAATTCTTTTTTCTTTTTAACAGTATACCTCATGTATAAATGAAATTTAAATTTTCATAGAATATTTGTTTTGGCAGCTAGTGCAAGTAATGTCCAAGATTATACTTTCTTATCACTTTCTACATTGTTATTTCGTGCAGGATACCTTCCGGGAAGCCAAAGCTAATGGTTTCAACGTTACCGTGATTAAGAAAGGGCAAGTAAAGTTCAATGTGGACAACTCGTTGGAAGAAGTAGAGGAAGAAATAACAGAGGTCGGAAGCAAAATTTATCATGATAAGATCATCCGGGAGCGTGGAGTTGATACCCGCACAATAATGAGGGGTTTAATTCTTGCTGATAAAGCTGCAAGGAGGTAGCTGTTGTTGGATATCGTAGCTTTTCCGGACATATTTAGTTGTTACTAAACTAAGTTTTTTGTAGTTAAAAACCAAAGTACCGTCTGTAATATAATTTAAAATTGCAAAATTGCACCATAAGCATGCATTAGAAGCTAGAGGAAACATCATGGCCTGAGCCATTTATGACAGTATGTGGACCATGGCCATCAAAAAAATTTGAATACTTTAGCCTATAAATAGATTAAGTGGCACATCTCCCTAATCCACTTCAATAAATGGCCGCCTCTCAGCATATGTGACTAGAATTTGAGGTAGAAATTTGCTCTAGTTCATAGTAGGCGAGTCTCATCACAGTGAAAACAACCAAAACACACGAGTGGGCCTGTGTACTTTGTGGTGTCATCTGCTTCTATTGAGAATTCCTAAACCAGCTATTTTGAGTCGCACTAAATTGACACTAGATTTATGAAGAATTTTGACCTTTTTTTTTCTTTGACAGCTTAGATCTGTAAATCTGAAGATTGCATCACGGTTTTTGCTTTCTATTGTGCCCTCCAATGATTAATTCCTGTCTCTGTCCCTGGCGAATATAGGGAACAAAGTTCTTGAAGGGAAGAAAATAAGACTTAACCCGCTAACCTAACAAATTTCTTACTAAAAATTTCATATTTAGCCCACACTTCCAAGATGCATTATACTTGCTTCTCTTACGTTAAACTCATTAACATACTTGTAGATGCTCATTAGTGATATGAATGTTTCATGTTACTGTGCTACTTAAAATGAAAGAGGATAAGTGAAAACTAGATCCATAATCAAATTAGGGTTAAACTTGAAATTGGCTGGATATTTGAGCCTATTTGTGTCTTTATGCCAATATATGTCCATTTTATATACATGTTATTGTATAATACTCTACTCAGAAAACTCGATCATTCATAACGGACTTGGTCATTGTCCTATTTTTGACCTATGCAGTAAATAAAAGGTGCAAAGATGAATACTAGTGAAGCTTAAGGCTTTTGTGGAAAAGATTGCTTTACTTCAAGGAGCACAGCAAGGAATCAGATTTCTTTTCACTTCCTCTCCCTTTTGAGAAGACATCCTCCATTCAGAAAGTAAGCTTTGCAGTTTTAATTATTACGCTTTTGCTTTTATCCTTATCGAAGTGTAAGTGTTGAACCTGTGACAAATTTTGGTTGTTTAAATGATATTCGTGCTTGAGTTAGCTTTCCTGTGTCAAATCCCTGCTCTTGTTGGTTGACAGACATGATTGGCACATCCAATTCCTTTTATGTGTCTTCTCAACAATTATGTCATAAAACTATATCTGATGAGTGACGATGATACGAGTTGCCGTGCGAGCACCCTTTGGTCGCGGAATTACCAAAAGGTGGGTTGAGAAGAGGATGACCAAAACACAAGAATAATTTAGTATAAGGCGAAGGAAAATACCTTCTCTAGATTATGAAGAACAAAGATTACAATTTCTCCCTCACAATCTCGCTAGAATTGAGAACAACCCCTCAACTCTCTCTCTAAACCCTAATACAATTATTAGAATTTCTCTTTTCCTTAGGTCTGATTGTTTAGAACCCTAAAACAATCCTATTTATAGATGTGCAAACGTGGATGGCAAACTTGTAAATAAACAAGCCCAAAAGAATCAGGAATCCCTGTCAAAACAGAATCCAAAACGAAACAGGAACCCCAGAAACCGCGATCCGGTCGACCGCCGGGCTTGGTCCGGTCGACCGGCCAGAGAATTTTCTCAAACCCTGCAGCGTGCAGGTTTTCCGGTCGACCGGCATGCGTGCTGCGGTCGACCGGACAGAGAACTGTCAGTCTTTCCTGTTCTTTTTGCGTTTTGCCTCTTCCGACTTCTTTCGCCATTTCCTTTAGCTCCATCCACGCTCCTATTCTCAAGATACCATGAGAATCTCCTATCCTCAAGCTCCCATGAGGATCGCTAAGCTCCCAAGGCAGGGAAGAAGATACACCTGTATCATGGGTCCCCCCTTTAGGAACTTGAAGTCCCATTCAAGTTAGAACTTCAGCTGAGAGAACTCGCGAGCCCCTCCTTCTTTTCTGAACCACCTGGCCTTGCTAGGAATCTGATCTCGACGTCTGATCGGAAATAACTCATTCATCCCGCGTCTCGTCGTAGTCACTTCTCGCTCCAAGTTGCAATCCTTAATCGATGGCTTTTTTGGAAGTCTAATGCACAGCAAAACAAACTTCTTGCTCGCATTCACTAACCTCTTCGCTCGTGTCACCGTTCCCAAGCTTGTCTCCTTCGGAAGAGATGCCGAACGAAATATAAACTTTTCACCACCCTTGGTGAATGTATACTTCTGAGCCCGCCTCTCGTAGATCGCATATCTATCCCATAAGTACGGATTGCCCAGTATAATCTGACAAACATCCAATGGACCTACGTCGCATGTGACCTCGTCAATATACGACTCATGGAGCGCAAATCTTACAGTGCATTGATCAACTACACATAGCTTCTCCTCCTTCTGAATCCACCCCAATGGATAGGGCTTTGGATGCTTGACCGTCTTCAGACCCAGCTTCTGAACCAAGGCTTCGGATATCAAATTCTTCTCGCTGCCCGGATCAACTATGGCATCAACCAAACTGGTCTTCACTTGCAACTTAAGAACAAAGAGCTGCTCTCTCGGGTCGTCGTCCTCTTTCGTGGCCTGTTTCCCCGTCATAAGATTAAGACTGCTATTAGGCTCTGTCATCCCCGGGACTTCTTTCGGACCTTGAGCTATCATGTATGCCTTTTTCTCCTCCTTCTTCTTCAACCCTTTTGGCTTGAGATGAGGATACTTCTCCCAACACCGATCAGCTTCGTGCCCTGTCTTCTCACAGTGACTACAAATCAGCCATGTTTTCCCTGGATCACCCTTCTTCTTCTCCTCCTTAAACTGAGAACCACTAGACTCGCCTCCAACTTGCTTTGCATCCCCCTTTGCTTCGTTGCTCTTCTTTTGCTTGCCCTCAATGGCAATGGCCTTCACGCTCGCATCTGCAATAGTCTCGACCGTGAATAACCTCATCTCCTTTCGGATGTAATCGCTCAATCCCGCCATATACTTCATAAACACGGAATATTCCTCTGTCGCAATGTTAAGGACCATCGCCTGCTGCTGGAACTCCGTAGTGTATTCTTGAACGGTTTGATTGACCCTTTGGCGCAAGCCATACCACTTGTACCAACGCTCCTCAAGGAATCCCACCGGATAGAACTGTTTCCTAAGTAGCTCCTTGAACTTGTTCCACGACACCGCCTTCTTCTCCTGCTTGCAATAGGATTTCCACCATGTCAACGCATGTCCTGAAAGCTTCAAAGTCGCGAACACAATCTTCTCTTTTGACGAATAGCCATAAAGAGTAAAATACGTCTCCATCCGCTCGATCCAGTCATCAAGCCTCTCGACGTCAACACTCCCATCATAAATAGGAATCTCCACTCTGAAATCAATCTTCAGATTCTGGTAAGAATTCTTACCCCCTTGATGCGGTGCAGCCTTGACGGTCTCGTCCTCCTCGTCGGAGCCTGAAAGCTCGCTCTCTCCACCGGACTCTATAGGTTTCTTCTTAGACCTAGAAGAAGATTCCCCCTTTTCGTTCCCTCCTTGGATGAGACCGACGAGTTTTGTGAGCGTCGACCCTATCGTCTCGATCTGCTTCTCTAATGCATCAATCCTCGCTGAATTATCTCCTTCAGCCATCTTCTCCTTCCTTAAATCCTGGACTTCTTCCAATGAAATAGGGATCTCGCCAAGCTTCTTGTATGAGGAACGAGTAAGGACCATACACAGGATGCCCCTTCACCGGATCTGATGCTCTGATACCAACTTGATACGAGTTGCCGTGCGAGCACCCTTTGGTCGCGGAATTACCAAAAGGTGGGTTGAGAAGAGGATGACCAAAACACAAGAATAATTCAGTATAAGGCGAAGGAAAATACCTTCTCTAGATTATGAAGAACAAAGATTACAATTTCTCCCTCACAATCTCGCTAGAATTGAGAACAACCCCTCAACTCTCTCTAAACCCTAATACAATTATTAGAATTTCTCTTCCCTTAGGTCTGATTGTTTAGAACCCTAAAACAATCCTATTTATAGATGTGCAAACGTGGATGGCAAACTTGTAAATAAACAAGCCCAAAAGAATCAGGAATCCCTGTCAAAACAGAATCCAAAACGAAACAGGAAACCCAGAAATCGCGATCCGGTCGACCGCCGGGCTTGGTCCGGTCGACCGGCCAGAGAATTTTCTCAAACCCTGCAGCGTGCAGGTTTTCCGGTCGACCGGAATGCGTGCTGCGGTCGACCGGACAGAGAACTGTCAGTCTTTCCTGTTCTTTTTGCGTTTTGCCTCTTCCGACTTCTTTCGCCATTTCCTTTAGCTCCATCCACGCTCCTATTCTCAAGATACCATGAGAATCTCCTATCTTCAAGCTCCCATGAGGATCGCTAAGCTCCCGAGGCAGGGAAGAAGATACACCCGTATCAGACGATTAAGTAACAACAAAAGATAAGAGATTTTCCTGTCAACATAAAAAGGCAGTATACCATTAGTTCATCAGTGTCTTGCGTGTAAATATAATTGAATCCTCGTCCATGTAAATTTGCTGCATTGCATAATGCGCATGCATTTGCATTTTCGCTGTTCATGACTTTAGAAGGATTTCTGTTACTGTGATACATATTTTAGAAATATATGTGTAACTAGAGTTATGTTTTTAGTGCTGGCAATTGCATTCTCTATATTTTACTCCCTAAGCTCAAGCTTAGCTTCAAAGGCTGATCACTAGCAACCAGGGAATTGGCTTCTTACTAAATCAGGGTCTGATCC